TCCTCTTGTACTCTAACTTCTTCTGTGATGGTCTGAGGGTATTAGCTATTCCTGAGAATCAAAAATAGAGTCTGTGGTTGAGGAGATATAGGAATGCTTAAATAATCCCATCTCTCATGTCCTAGAAGTTTCTGAAACTAGCTAATGCCATCTCAATCACCTCAGGCACCCCATGTACTGTGAACTGTGAGGAGGGGTCCCCTGAGACCACACTACATTCCTTTCTGCCTGGAGAAGGGGCCCCAGGAGAGAGTCCAGCTCCTGCCCTTACCTCTAACCTTCAGGGTCAGGAAATCACTCCATGTGACCAACCATTCCTGCTCTGATATGCACACTGGTATTCACTGTGTAGTGTGGGCTCACGGATTCAATGTAGTAACTGGCCTTGTTGCTGAAATCTTGTGAGATCTTCATGGACAAGGATCCAGAGTCCTTCTCTTTGTACAGAGAGTAGATGTCAGCCTGCAGAGAAACCTGACACCAGATGGTCACAGGGCTCCCCTCACTGACCATGAGGTCTGGGTCAGCCCAAATGGAGGGTTTGGGGAGGGTCCTTAGAAAGGAATCAGATGGAGAGTTGCAAAGGTGCCCTTCTCCCCTCATTTTCCCAACTGTCCATCCAAGGCCCCTTCAACACTGGTCACCAGCAGCCCTGACCCTCTCTGACCCTCTCTGCCTCCCAGCTGTCCAGAGCGCCTGTTGAGTGGAAGCAGGAGGTCTGAGGAGGACTTACCTGCCTGTCCTCCATCTCTTGCCCCTAACACTGACTTGGACGTGTCTAAATTACAATACATATAACAAGTACAACGTTTTTGGTGTGAGGGCACATCATTTAGATGTTCATAGTTTTCCCACATTTCACAAGAAGATGTAAAATGCTAATTCTAACTTGACTGTTAAGTTAGGTATGCTATGATAATGTCTAGACAGACACTCAAAGAGCACCCAAGATGTATAGTTAAAACCCCAATAGGGACAATAAATTGGAATACTAAAAATATTTCTTAAAGCCAAGAAAAGGCAGAAAATGGAAATAGAAGAACAAGCAAAAGAGAGGATGAGCAAAAATAAAATATATCTAATAACAATCTCATCACTGGGCAGCCCTGGTGGCTCAGCAGTTTAGCGCCACCTTCAGTCCAAGGCCTGATCCTAGAGACCCGGGATCGAGTCCCACGTCGGGCTCCCTGCATGGAGCCTGCTTCTCCCTCTGCCTGTGTCTCTCATGAATAAATAAATAAAATATTTTTTAAAAAAATCTCATCACCAATCATATTATATATATATGATGTAAACACAACACTTAAAAGACAAAGATGGTAAGATGAGTTGAAGAAAAACAAGTATAAAAAAGAATCTATTTGCATTCTATAAGAAATTCACTTCAAACATAATCACGTAAGTGGGTTAAAAGTAAAAGAATGAACAATGTGACTGAGCCTTGAAAACACTGTGCTAAGTAAAGAAATCCAGACGCAAAGGTCAATATTGTGTGATTCCACTTATAGGAACCAAAAATGCAAATTCAGGAGACAGGTATTGGAACAGAGATTGCCAGGGGCTGGTGGCAAAGGCACACAGGAGTGGTTATGTAATGGGCAGGGACTATCCTTTGGGGTAACAAGAATATTCTGGAAATGGAGAGTGATGATGATTATCTAACATGGTACATGTACTTCATACTGCTGAATTACATACCTTAGTAATGAATGGTCAATGCGGTAATTTTATGAAATGTATATTCAACCACATTGAAAAAGTAGAAGAAAATTGTGCAATAAAATGGGCAAAAGACGGAAGACATAGACTGGCCAACAAGTACATGAGAAAATGCTCCGCATCACTGGTAATCAGGGAAATACAAATCAAAACCACACTGAGATACCACCTCACACCAGTGAGAATGGGGAAAACTAACAAGGCAGGAAACAACAAATGTTGGAGAGGATGCAGAGAAAGGGGAACCCTCTTGCACTGTTGGTGGGAATGTGAACTGGTGCAGCCACTCTGGAAAACTGTGTGGAGGTTCCTCAAAGAGTTAAAAATAGATCTGCCCTACCACCCAGCAATTGCACTGCTGGGGATTTACCCCAAAGATACAGATGCAATGAAATGCCGGGACACTTGCACCCCAATGTTTATAGCAGCAATGTCCACAGTAGCCAAACTGTGGATGGAGCCTCGGTGTCCATTGAAAGATGAATGGATAAAGAAAATGTGGTCTATGTATACAATGGAATATTACTCAGCCATTAGAAACGACAAATACCCACCATTTGCTTCGACGTGAATGGAACTGGAGGGTATTATGCTGAGTGAAATAAGTCAATCGGAGGAGGACAAACATTATATGGTCTCATTCATTTGGGGAATATAAAAAATAGTGAAAGGGACTGAAGGGGAAAGGAGAGAAAATGAGTGGGAAATATCAGAAAGGGAGACAGAACATGAGAGACTCCTAACTCTGGGAAACGAACAAGGGGTGGTGGAAAGGGAGGTGGGCGGGGGTTGGGGGTGACTGGGTAACGGGCACTGAGGGGGGCACTTGATGGGGTGAGCACTGGGTGTTATGCTATATGTCGGCAAATTGAACTCCAATAAAAAATAAAAATAAATAAATAAATTTTTAAAAAGAAAGGGAATAAAGGGAAAAGGAGAGAAAATGAGTGAAAATATCAGTGAGGGTGGCAAAACATGAGAGACACCTAACTCTGGGAAACAAACAAGGGGTAGTGGAAGGGGAGGTGGGCGAGGGGACAGGGTGACTAGGTGATGGGCACTGAGGGGGCACTTGGCGGGATGAGCACTGGGTGTTACACTATTTGTTGGCAAATTGAAGTCCAATAAGAAAAATTTTTTTTAAAAGAACTAATCAAGGGATGCCTGGGTGGCTCAGTGATTGAGCATCTGCCTTCAGTTCAGGGCATGATTCCGAAGTCCCAGGATCAAGTCCCACATTGGGCTCCTTGAACAGAGTCTGCTTCTCCTTCTGCCTGTGTCTCTGCCTCTCTCTCTCTCTCTCTCTCTCTCTCTCTCATGAATAAATAAATAAAATCTTTAAAATTTTTTTAATTAAATAAAAAGAAACTAATCAAAAAGATTGACGTGGTTGAATGAGCTTCCAATTGCTGCTGTCTCAAATGACCACAAACTTGGGGTCTTCAAACAACATAAATTTATTCTCTTACAACTATGGATGTCAGAAACACAAAATCAGTGTCATGAGTATAAACTCAAGGAATGGGAAGACATTCACTTAGTTCATCTGCATCCAGAACCAGAAGTCTGATGCAATGGACTTGTAAATATTGGCCATATATCCAGTAAATCTGGAAAACTCTGGTAATACATTTTTATATTATTTTTTCATTTTCTATCCACACAACTGTGTAATCTGGGAACAATACAATATTATTATTAAGTAATTTAGTACTTATCACTTTTTTGACTTCATTGAATTGGTGGCAGCTCCAATTAAATGAATAGAATGATGTGCTGAACAAACATGGTCAGAGGAAACATACTTGGATCATTCCCCATCACAAAGAGCTTTACTTCAAGTTCTCGCCTTGAAAGATGATGTCTAGGTGCTGATTACTACCATGCCTTCATCAATTAAAGGAAATATCCTTTATTTCTGTTTTTGTTTGTTTGTTTGATGTTGAAAGTCATTTTATGTAGATTTTCAGTGAATTCCCTGCTGCAATCTGCGTGCTGGTATCCTGACACCTCTACAGAAACAAAGTGGTTCAGAGCCTCTGGGGAAATGAGGCAGAGAGTCAGTGGCTGAGAAGGACACCAACAGTGGCAGTGTCGGTGTTCAGAGAGTGCCACCACTGCTCCATGGATCCCTACGATCCCACCTCCAGCAGACAGAGCACAAGAGGTGCTGCATTTCTTCCTGCATCATTAAAACCAGTACCAAAGAAAGGCCACAGAGGTCCAGCAAAGGCACATTCAGAGAAGGTATAGATGAGGGAGCCATGGTCAGTAATGTAGAAGGAGACTGTGTGGGCCTCACAGACCAAAAAGATCCCAACTTGGCATGGAGGCACCTGAAGGTGGAGGGGAGTCTGGGGGCAGGTGCCAGCTTCGTATTTGTGTTTGTTCCACAGCCAAATTGTCCAGAAGCCATTCCCAGGGATGAGCAAAAAGTGTCCCTTCCTCTGTACAGAGTCTGTACAAACACCCAGGTCCCAGGCCTCCTTTCCTCTCACATCTACCTCCAGTAAGCCAGTAAGAGTCAAAGCACTAGGCACCCAGGACCATGGGATACATATCAAATCTGCTTTCATTTTCAGGAACTTCCTGCTGGCTGTCTCCAAGCCTCACTTGTCTCCAATCCTCTGAAAGAATGAGCCACGGATTGGCTGTGTGTGGATCCAGGGTGACGTGTACTCCATAAAGATTTTATTTTCATTATGAATTATTGGTGTGTTTTATCAAAAGCTTTTCGATATCTGTTGAGATTGCTATTTCTTCATTATTTTTTATATTTTTATATTTTTTATTGAAGTTCGATTTTCCAACATATAGTATGACACCCAGTGCTCATCCGGTCAAGTGCCTTCCTCAGTGCCCATCACCCAGTCACCCCAGACCCCACCTACCTCCCCTTTCACTACCCCTTGTTTGTTTCCCAGAGTTAGGAGTCTCTCATGTTTTGTCTCCTTCTCTAATTTTCCCACTCATTTTCCCTCCTTTCCCCTATAATCCCTTTCACTATTTCTTATATTTTTTCATTAAAAAATTTTAAAGTACAGCTGATATGTAATAGTATATTATTCAACATAATAAGTCAACAATTATATACGTTATGTAATGCTTACCATATGAAGTGCAGCTATCATGTGTCACACAAAAAGATTATCACAATACTATCTATTATATTCCTTGAACTATATATTTCATCCCTGAGGCTCATTTACTATTAAGTGGAAAGTTTTTTTTAAAGATTTTATTTATTTATTCATGACAGACATACAGAGAGAGGCAGAGACACAGGCAGAGGGAAAAGCAAGCTCCATGCAGGGAGCCTGACGCGGGACTCGATCCCAGATCCCCAGAATCACACCCTGGGCCAAAGGCAGCACTAAACTGCGTAAGCCACCGGGGCTGCCCTATTAAGTGGAAGTTTGTCTCTCTTAATCCCTTTCACCTGTTTCACCCCTCTCCACCTCCCCTCCCCTCTGGTTTGTGAGATGGTCATTTTTCTCTAAGTGTATCAGATTATATTGATTGAGTTTTAAAATTTGAAGCTACTTGTTCTTCCTCTCCCATCAAAATCCAGTGTGGTTATGATGTAGTGTTCTTTTTATGCATTACTGATTCTTATTTGTGAACAATTTTTAGAGATTGACATCTAAATTTATGTGAGAGATCTTTCTGGGCCTTTCTATTCTGTAATTTCCTTGCCAGGTTTTGGTGTCAATGTTTTCTTGGCCTGATACAATCTTACTTCTTTTTCTCTACTCAGGAAAGGTTTGTGTAATTTTTGTGTGTGTGTATGTATGTGGGTGTGCATGAGTGTGTATGTGTGCATGCCTGTGTGCTTGAGACTATGCATGTGTGTACACTTGTGTGAGAGTGTGTGTGTGCACGTGTATATGCATGTGTGTATGCATTGCATGTGTGTGTGTGTGTGTGTGTGTGTATCCTAAATGCATAAGTGGAGGAAGTTGCCTCCTCAACAGACACATTTATATATTACAAAATGATTATCCCCTTGAAGTTAGTTCACACTTCCATCCCACAACATAGTTACCTTTCTTGTATGTGATGAGAACATTTAAGATCTCCTTTCACTGCATTCAAAAATATGATAAAGTGTTATGAGCTGTGGTCACCATGCTGTACATCAGATCCCTCGAACTTGTGCTCTTATAACCATGTAGAGCTTGTTCATCAACTACCTATCACCCTGACCAGGGCCTCTCCATTTCCACAACCCCAGCCGTGGCAGCCACCACTCTGCTGTTTCTCTCACTTTCCACATACTTCAGTTGGGGAGCAGTTTTTGATCACATGTCATTGCATTTTATATACACATAAGGTGACACACATTTTCTACCTCTCCATCATTTTGGTAGCTTCTGTTTTGAGGATTTTGACGGTTTCATCTACATTTTCTCATATATCAGAATAAAACTGTTCTAATATTCTGTTATCAATTTATAGTCTGTAGGATGTGATGGTGTCCTGATAATGGCGACATGTGCCCGCCCTTTTCTATCTCTTTTCTTAGTGGTTGTTGCTAAGATTTATAAAATTGAACAATGTTCACAAAAATGAACATTTTTGGCTTTATTGATTTTTTAAAAAAATTTTTGTCCTTATTCTTAGCTACTCTTCTCATTATTTTCATCCTTTACCTTCATTTGGAATCATTTGTTATTCTTTCTCTAAATTCTTGATATGATAGAATATGTCATTCATTTTTTTTAGGCTTTTTCCTTCCTAAACATTTTGTTCTTGGTTCTTAATTTCCCATTTCAGGTTTGATGTGTAATGTTTTACATGATCCTTCAGTGTAAACATTCTCTCATTTCCATTTTGGTTTTCTCATTTCACTCCTGGATTATTGAGAAGTTCATTGCTTTAATTTCCAAAGTGCAGGAGTATCTTTGAGGGAAGAATCGAGTGACTCTCAGAGGACCCCAGGAGTTCCAACTGGTCTCTAGGAGAAGTCCACAACCAGGTAGCACCCACTGTGGGCAGGTCCTGTGCCTTCCTAGGGTCCATGGGGTCCCCCTCCCTGGAGTATGGGGTCTGGGTCCTTTCTGGATTAGTGGATGGCCAGGGCAGCATACACACTGGGCTCTGCTGGGGGCTCCCCTGACTGGGAGGGAGAGGATGCACTTGTCTTCTGTCTAAGGGTCAAGTGGTTCAGCTGAGCGTAGGTCACATCTGGGGGGGCGTCAGATGCAGCAGCCTGCAGCAGGGGAGAGTGAAAGGGAGGTTAGTGTTGGGGTGGGGAGAAGCCATGGAAATCAGAGAAGAAAGGACCCACCTGACTGTCCATCCACCTATCTTCCTCTGCTTGTCTGTCCTCTAGGCCCTATAATCTTCCCAACAGGGAGGATAGAGGAGTGGCCAGGACCCACTCGAGACTTGACACTGAGTGGCTCACCTGGGCGTACATCACTCCCTGGGGATCTTCATCCTGTGTGTTCTGCTGCAGACAGACAGTGAGAGGGATATTTATCTCCTTGAACCCACTCAATCCCCCCAGTCAATTTGTCACACTGTGGCCAGAGTAATGCTTTCAAACTCTCAGGCAGATTAGTTCACTTTCCTGCTGGACTCTGCAGGGACTTCCTGAGCCTTGGAGCATGTGATGCTGTCTTGAAACAGCTCTGATTCTATTCCTGACACTGTTTCTTGCCCATTTGGCTCCAGCCACATGACCCATGTTCCTGAAGTAGCATGTTGCTGCCTCAGGACCTTTGCACTTGCTACTCTCATATCTTGTTTTATTTCCTTAGCCACACTTTGCACCCAAGGAAGCTGCGACTTCCTTGCATATTTTCTGACACCCACAAGGAGAGCTCGTTCAGTGGGGGTCAATTATGCTCACTGCTAAACCTGGAACACTAGGTGGGTTTAGGTAAATATTGGACTCCCAGTTATCTTTGCTGAGTGAATGAATGAAGGAGGTCCAGAGACCTTAGGGTGATTCACTTCTTCATGCACCCTGTTGAGATCTGGGTATGCACTCCAACAACCCTAAGTCAGACAATGGATGGGGAGCCAGGCAAGGGGAGCCTGGAGGAGGGGCCAAGAGGTCACAGCGGGATGTCCCAGGTGCCCAAGGGTGGAGAGGTCATCAGTGGAACAGAGCTGAGACTGGGTGGTGTGAAGACAGAGAATCATGCATTGGATTAAGTTTGGCACCAAGAGGGCCCTGGGGTCTGGATGGGAGTGGGTGTCTCACCCAATGGTCCAGCTTGACCCCATCCTCAGGCCATGTGTCTTGCACAGCAGCATCTGTGGAGTAGAACAGGGTGTGTGTCTTGGCAAAGTCCCCTGAGTTCCCTCAGGGCTGCAGACACTGACCTGCTCCCAGATGGGGCGGCTGTGACCCAGGGGATCCAGGGGTGAGGTGCTGAGGTCATGCATGGGGGAATTGGGTTCTCACCCCTTCCCAAACCTTCCCAGCCCACCCCCAGGGTGGCCCCTTCCTCTCACAGAGGGTTTCCTCCTGGGCGACAGCAGCTGGCCTGGAGCTGGGGAGGAGACATGGTGTCAGAGGGCATGCAGGGGGCGGGTAGGTGGGAGTCTGGGGGTCTGTGGGCAGGAGTTACCTGTCCTGCAGGCCTCTGTCCTTGGGCTCTGGGTCTGCATCCCCTGCCGGACATTAGGAATCAGCATTCCTCTGGGATGGAAGGTTACAACCTCCCCGCTCCATGTGATTCCAGGGAAAGGAGCCCTTCACCCGCATTGCCTGTGTGTTTCTCCATCTCCCAAGATTGAAAAGAGGGGAGCACCTTCTATTGGCACATGGGAACCAACCTGGGTGTTTTCTGTCTAGACTCTCTGACTTGAGATTCTGTAGAAGTGTCCTACATCGGCCTTTCCCACCTCTCTGGGTTCCCTCTGGCCGCTGCCCTGAGCCCACCTTGGGTCAGCCCACAGAGCCCACCACCCCTGGGGTGCCTCAGCCCCTTCTTACTCAACTTCCTGCATTTGCCCCGATGTTGCTGTCGGACCAGGAGGAGGATAAGGAGGCAGAGCATCAGGATGAAGGCCACCGAGGCCCCGATGAGGATGTAGAGGTACCAGCTAGGACCTTGGGCAGGAGCTATACCATGAATGAGCCAGTGATTCCATTTTACTGAGCGCCTACTGTGTACCAGGCACCTGCTGGGCTCTGTGCTTGCACCTATGACTCTGACAACGATCATGCAGCAGGGGATTGTCGTCCCTCCCACCTGCTCCACAGACTGGAAACCGAGACACAGAGTGATCAATCATGTGTCTCAGGTTGCTCAGCATGGAGGTGGCAGGGCTGGGACAGGAAGTTGGGATGAAGGTTCCCTGTGCTCTACTCATGCCTCCCCTGTGAGGTCACTACTCCGAGGCTCTGGGCTCCTCATTTGGGGCAGGATCTGTCTCAGCATCTTCATCCTGAGCTGAGAGTCCTTCCAGACCTCAACACCCCCAGCCATCAACTTCCCTCCCCTCCCCCTATAATGTCACTGTCACTGCTGCAGAGGGACAGGCACCCCCCTAGAATCATGACTTGGGGAACCTCCCCATGAACCCTCCTCACCCAGGAGGCCAGAGCCATGTTCAGAACCGAGGACAAATCTAATCTGGGCCATGACTCTCTCTTTTACACTTGGGGAAACTGAGGCCCACACAGGGGAGGGGCATGTCCAAGATAGGGAATGTAAGGGGTCATGAAGTGAGGGTGTAACTCAGCCCCTGTTCCCCACGACCTACCCACCACCTCCTGACAGAGACCCTCACTTACCCTCAGAGCCTCCTGGGGTCAGTAGAGGGTCAGGGGAGGGCCTGTGTGCTTCCACTGCACCTGCTGCCCCTCCCCCAGATGGGTCCCCACCCCTCCCTATCCCATGAACACCCAGCCTCCTCCACCAGCCAAGATCCCTGGTGCCCGTCGGCCCCCTGTCATTTCTGAGAGACTGGAACCAAAGGCTCTGGATGGACGCCCCTGTGACTCACCAGCTGTTGGGCTGGATATTGTGGGTGGGGGGCCATGGTGTCCAAAGGATCCTGGGAAAAAAGTCGGGAGAGGAGGCTAGAGCTTCCCACAGAGACACTGCCTATGCTCACACTCCTCCTCCTTATTTACCCTGAGGTCCCCAGGTACTCCTCCTCCTCCACCTGGAGAATTCTGGTGACGGGGTCAAGAGAAGAACCAGGGGTGGGAGGGCAGTGTGAGGTGTGGACCCCTCAGAACGCCCCCTCTCCCATCCCAGCCCTGTACTTTTGTGGGCACAGGGCCCTGAGGACAATGTTAGCACATGGAGGGTCAGGGGCAAGGGCCACTCACCTGAGACCAGGATCTCCACGAGGACACTGGGGTATGACAACAGGTAGGGGGAGGTTTTGATAGAGCCATAGCACCTGTAGGTCCCCCCATGGGCTGGGGTCACAGGACTCATGGAGAATTCAGCCTCATACTTCCCAGCTCGGTACTTCGATCTAAGACGCAGGGAGGCATCAGCTGCCCCATCCTTGGACAGAAGGAATGTGTCCACATTGCTCAGTGACTGACACAGCAGGGTCACATTCTCTCCTGGGGCCACCGTGGGTCCTGGATGCACCCATAAGGAGGGTGTATAGGAGAGCTGTCCTAGAGAGAGAAAGGGTAGGTAAGGGGTGGTCCAGCCTTGTCTTGACCTGAGTCTGTGTCCTCTGAGTCTCCCATCTTTATCCCCGGTTTCTCTGTCTCTCTCCCTCCCCGTGGACCCCACACCCTTGGTCCTGGCGGCCACTACCTGGGGTTCCCCTCAGGGACCTGTGCAGTCTGGGTCCTGACTGTACCCATGGCTCCTCACCTGTGACCAGGATGTCTAGGGGGTCACTGGGGGCTGACCACTGAGAGGAGAGGTTGTGTCCACCGTAGCATGTGTACTGGCCCCCGTGGGAGGATTTCACTGGGCTCAGGGAGAAGTCTGCCCCAGAGAACCCAGCCTGAGTCTGCCGGCCATGAAGCTGAAGGAGGTCACTTGTCCCTTCCTTGGACAGAGCGAATCTGTCGTAGCTGACATCAGAGAGACACTGGAGGGTCAGGTTCTGTCCAGAGGTCACAACAGGGCCCTGCTGGGTCAAGAGAGAGGGCTTCCCCAACACACCTGGGAGAAGACCAGCCATGGATTGTAGGCCATGGATTGTAGGCTGATTCTCCCCAATCCTCCCTTCTCCCATCCTGACTCCTGGGTCTCACTGTCCCTCACCCTCTCAGTTTCTTACCTGTGACCCCATGGTCCCCTCACCCCACTGTTATGTCTGGAGGTCTCCTGGGAGCAGATCTGCAAAAACTTGTCTGGTGCCTCAAACCACAGACGGGGCAAAAATCAGACTTTCTCACCTGAGACCAGCAGCTCCAGAGGGTCACTGGGGAGTGACCACACCTGGGGGGTGTTGCTGTAAAAACCATGGCATCTGAATGTCCACATGAGGCTGGGGATCACGGGGCCCACAGGGAACAGAGCCTGGAACTCTCCACTAGGGGCTCGCTGGGAGTCCTGGGTCCAGGAGGGCTGGCCTTCTACTTCCCTCAGCAGAATAAACATGTTAAATCCTCTCCATGAACCACACTGGAGGGTCACATTCCCTCCTGAGGGCACGATAGGGCTGGGCAGGACTGAGAGCCTGGGTTTGCTGTGCATCCCTAGGAGAGGGGAGGGGCTGTGTTAAATGGGGCTCAGATCCCCCCACATGATCCCTAGGGATGGGCTGTGAAAGGGTGACACCCTGAGAGCAGACCCTCTTCCTGAGGGCAAGACCTGAGTAGGCTCGCACCTGTCACCACCAGCTCCAGGGGGTCACTGGACTCTGACCAGCCAGTGGGGCTTTTATAGTAACAGCGATACCGTCCTGCATATACACTTGTCATGTATGTGATAGGGAACTTGGCCTTGTCCTTCGGCTCCAGTGGCTTCTGCACCTCCCAGGTCTCTGAGTATCCATCTTTATACAGGATGTACTCCTGGGCTTTCAGGCTCCCCTTACACCAGAGGGTCACTGATGTCTCCATGGGGATCACAGAGCCTGGCTCAGCCCAGATGGTGGGTTTGGGGAGGGTCCCTGGAAGGAAACAGAGGCTGGGTCACAAGGCCCTCTCCACCCTCAGTTCCCAGCTCAGCCCCAAACACCCAGATGTCTCCCCTCTGTCAACCCAGAGCTGCTGATCTCCATCCCCCCTGCCTGGTGGGTGTTCCCTGTCCCCAGTGAGGAGGTGGTACTGGGACCCCTGGGGACAGACTCACCTGCCTGCACTTGGGTCCTGAAGCCCACACTCAGCCCTGGAAGAGAGTCCCTGTGAGAGGTTGCCCTGAATTCTGAGCTGAAGCCCTCCTCCCCAGTGAGCCTCCTGACCCTGGGGTCTCTGACAGACCAGGGCCTGACTGTGGGGTGGGTCCCTCTCAGACTATGGTGTCTCCTCCCCTCCTCAGATCTCACCTAGACAGAGCAAGGCCGTGAGGATGGGGGTCATGATGTCTCCTGTCTCTGTCCCAGCTATACGGATGGAGGGACCTTGGTGTCCATAGATCAGACAAATGCACGGAGCACAGGCACTCGGAGACCAGTCCTCCTTGTCACGGGGTTTTCACGTCAGCCACCCCACAGGAAGGGGAACAGCCTAGCTGTCATTTCCCAAGGGCTGAGGCTCAGGCAGGCAGCAGGCTTTGCAGTTGTTTCTGATCACAATTGAGGCCTCACCTGACCCAGAAACTGCTGTCTCCCTGGCCTGATACCCCCTTGTGACACAAACTTCAACATGTATTATTGAGTGTTTGCAATGTCTCTGTCCCAGAAATACATCTTTGAACTAGACTGATTCAAACTAGTTTGCAAAGCTCAAATTCACAAAACAAAAAACTAAAGAAAAAGGTACACAATTAAAAGTAGGTGTATCTGGTGTGTAATTTTCCTGTTGTGTTGCTGCTGTAACCAATCACTACAAGCTAGTGGGTTAAAGCAGCACAGATTTATTATCTTACCTTTTTAAGGACAGAATTGCAACATGGACATCCCTGAGTTAAAGTCAAGGTGTAATCTAGCTGTTCTAGAGTTCCTGGGGATGAATCCATTCCCTTGCCTTTCCAAGCTGTTACTCCTGCCCATATGCCTTGGGGTCCCCTTCCATCTCCAGGGCCAGCATCACATTGCTCCAGCTGCTCTGGAGTCTCTTCTTTGGTTCTGACCCTGCCCCTCTGGCCCCCTCCTTCACTCATGAGGACCTTTGTGATGACTCATTGCCAAGCATTCTGTCTCTACTAGAGCCTAGGAGCAACCCAGAGCTGCTTCACAAAAGGAGAGTAGTTCTCTGCAGAAATGGCATAGTGTGGCTTCAAAATCTTTAATATCTACATTGTACATCATCTATATGGTTCCCTGCCAAAGGACGTTGAGCTCATCTGCCACAGAAACTCCAAACACCACTGGAGTTTTTAGGTCATACAAATCAGGCTTTCTGAAGTTTGGGCCCATTGCAAAGGATTCTCTTGTTCTGGGCTCAAAACCAACAGCTCCTCAACTCACTCAGTAAGTGGGTAGAGGTAGCATGCACAGGGAGCTCTATATTGTCTCCATGATCCAAAGCTGCCTCACTAGGAATTGAACTTTTGTCTCATTAGTAGGAGGATTAGATGGAGCCATGAGTGTTAAGCTAGGATGGGGTATCTCAACATGCCTCAGGCAGCTGGATGCCTAGAAATTTCACAGAGGTAGCAAGAAACTGAAGTTTGGAGAGATTTATTTCCCACAGTCTTACAAATCACCTAGAATATTTGCTACTTCTTGTTTCACAGATATAATCCACATGGTGTGTACTGGATCTGTGTGATGTCCTGTTCAATGGAAGGACAGTCATGGTCCACACAGCCTGGATAACACAGAGCTGGAGATGTGACACAGAGCTGGAGATGTGGTACAGGGCTGGCGATGTGGTCAGGGCTTGAGATGTGACACAGGGCTGAAGACATGCTCAGGGCATGGAGATGTGTGCAGGACTGGAGACGTGGGCAGGGCTGGCGACATGCCACAGACCTGAACAAATGTGGACAGTGACAGTATATAGCTGAGCCTGAGAACTAACCATAGACCAAACCTAATGGCATTTACAGACTCAGGAAAATAAACCCATTAATCAACAGTTGCATACCAGGTGCCAGGAGAAAGATGGGTTTCTCTGTGGGTCTTCAGCTGGAGCAGAAATGGACATTGGAATCATCTGGTGCACAAGAATCCAATTCTCCAAGGTCCTTCTGTCTTCTGTGCAAACGAGGTAGGCAAGTTGAATGGAGAGTGGAAAACATCACTGCCTCTGTATTGATCTGAGTTATTTTTATTTATTTATTTATTTATTTATTTATTTATTTATTTATTTATTTATTTTTGTGTATTTTTATTGGAGTTCGATTTTCCAACATATAGGATATAACACTCAGTTCTGAGTTATTGTTGATGGTATGAATCTGTGCAATATCTGCAAGGGTGATAATTACTTTTGTTTCACTATTTTGGTAAGAGGCATTTCCAGCACTTTCCACCTGGCCTTTCCTTCACTGAATCTCTTACATCACAGGTCAGAAAACCAGTGCTCGCTGTTGAGGATGTTTGTATGGTCTAAGGATCCCAGAACTAGAGAAATAACTACAAGAAAGGTCCAAGGATCCACTAACCACACCTCCTCCTTATGCCTCAACTCTCACTGGCCTGCTCAGACATCAGTGGTTTGGGGGTCTCCAGAAATAATTGAATATTTAACAAAATGGTAAGATCAACAATGCACATTTTAGTTAAAGAAAAGAAAAGAAAAATCCATAGGAGACAATAGATTACTATTTCACCAGTAAAGAAGGCAATGGCATTGGTTTTATTTATTTATTTATTTATTTATTTATTTATTTATTTATTTATTTATTTTTGGCATTGGTTTTAAATGAGGGGAGCAAAGTGCTGAAAAGCCTGTGTGCAGGGAATGGTGGCTCTGCCCACTTTCAACTTCCTACACACTTTCCAAAAACTGAATGTGGAATGTGCATGAGGCACAGCTCATACATTCTCCTCTCTGGAGAAACAGGCTCTATTGGAAAGAACTCCTTATGGCCATTTCTCCTACTCAGAAGTTCATACTCTATGACTTCCCATTTTAGAGTAGATACCAGATCTGAATCTGCCTTTCTTGTTATCTGCACTCCCATCTCTCCTGAACTGCCACCCAAGGCTCACCTTCACCTACACATCCAACATAATCTCATCTGGTGTCTAGGACCTTCATGGAAGTGACTACCTTTGCATTTCAAACTGATTTTATGCTAGTTACACATTCACTGTCTCTCCCTGCCTCATAAATAATTATCCCTGATAGGGTAAGATCTGAGAATTTGTTATAATGATTCCGTAGACAAGCAGGATTTAAGCAATAACTTAAGCAATAATTCCCATGGAATTCTAAGCCATATCTTCTCATTGCTGAATCATGAGCACACTTCACACTGTGCTTCAGCATGTAAAACACAATAAACGAACATTTACAAGCAAATAACTACATTATTAATTATTGGTTTTAATAATTGCTTAATTGACCACCAGTGCTTAATTTAAGAGTATTTATTAATGAAGAGTAAATTGATAACATACCACTGAGAAGATAATTTGAGGGGAATTTTAAAGTGGAATTCAAGGCTCATTCTAAAAGTACAAAATGATATCATAAAAACATGACTCACTTTCCTTCCCTGCAGTGCAAAGCAGAGCAGGGTGGTGAGTTTTGCAACCTCAGTGACTTTCCTCCCTGTCCCAACTGTGCGGAGAGGTGGGGGGTGGGGGGAGACAGACCCTGGAAGACCACAATGAGCAACAGGATGCATGAGTAGGCATCCATTAATCTCTCAGCCCAGCCACATTTCAACACTAACATTTAACCAGAAGCAGAACAGCTACTTCCTCATTTGTCAATTCTGTACTGGTCCCAAATAAGATGTGGACTTCTCCTTTTTCAGAAAACCATTTCTACCTATCATAAGTGCACAGTTCTGCATTTCAGGAACTGTCCAAATGTGCCATCGAGTGAAAGAAAAGTGTCCAGTGCCTGGTTCAGAGCTGGACATTCAGAAGATTTGTGAGTCATGCCCAGGTCACCACTTCTCCCCACACTTGGGTGGTTTGTGTGCATCACCAGAGCATGGAATCCCATCTGTATTAATGAAGTTTAACACAAGTGCATGAACAGAGACCTTGGGTGCCTTTCTTACAGCTGTTGGTTATAGCTAGAGTGGTGAGTGGAGATGACCCAGGGCTGGAAAGGGGGAGTCTCGGCAGAGAAAGAAACCATGATGCATACAGAAGAGCTTTGTCCAAGGATACCTCACGCTTAGATTCAGGCTGTGTGTTTTGGGGTGGAGTACCTCTCCAGCGACATTGTCCATATTTTTCCTTATGGGTGATTTTTGCTTTCATAACTTGGTTAATTTTCCATTCCTCATGTTTCTTCACAATAAAGTTTCAATTTGTCTTTTGTAATTAATAATCGATTCATGGAGAGATACTTTGAGAGTGTGTACATATCATGCTACCCATTAAACTTTCACTTAGATAATTCTATCAGCCACTGACCATTATGCTAAAGCAAACGCCTTCTCTTTCCCCCAAGTGAATTATTTGCTATAAAAATAATACTGTTAATGGCATCTCACTGCTTTTACATACTTGGGAAACATGGCTGATGCTTCTTGTATTTCTCTCATAATAAGCGAAACCATCTAAGCTTTCTGATTTCCCTAGGTCTCCATATTGACATCTGGTGTTCTTCCAGCACTATTTTTTGTTCCCTTTACTATTTCCTCTTTTCATGTAAAATTCCACCCTAAAATTCACTGTATATAAAGATAACTTTTTTGCAAAAAAAAAAAAATGAAACTAGACCCCTGTTTAACACCATACACAAAAATACACCTAAAATGGATTAAAGACCTTGATGTGAGACCTAAAACCATAAAAATCCTAGAAGACAACACAGGCAGTAATTATTCTGAAATTGGACATAGCAACATTTCTCTAGATATGTGTCCTCAGGCAAGAGAAACAAAAGCAAAATTAAACTACTGGGACTACATCAAAATAAAAACTTTGTGCATAGCAAAGAAAATCATCAAAAATAAAAAGGCAGGGGCACCTGAGTGGCTCAGTGGTTGAGCATCTGCCTGTGACTCAGATCGTGATCCTGGGGTCCTGGGATCGAGTCCTTCATCATGATACCCCCAGGGAGCCTTTCTCCCTCTGTCAATGTCTCTGCCTCTCTCTGTGTGTCTCTTATGAATAAATAAATGAAATCTTTTAAAATAAATAAGTAAATAATAAAAAATAAATAAAATGAAATAAAAAGGCAACTTATGAGATGGGAGACAATATTTGCAAATGGCATATTTGATAAGGGGTTAATATCCAAAATATATAAAGAACTTCTACAACTCAACACCAAAAAAAAAATCACAAATAATCCAATTAAAATTGGCAGAGAACCTGAATAGGCTTTTTCAAAGAAGACATACAGGGGCTCT